GTCAACTCTAATGTTATCTGTTTGGTTGTTTCCCATTTCTACTACCCCACAGGTATGCCAGTGGCCTTTTGGCCACTCTTTACAAAGACAGCAACACACTATTTCAACATCTAAAATCTTCCACCTGAGGAAGGTGACAAAGTCCATCCTCCCTACCAAGTCAAACGCAGACGCTAAATACATTTGTTTAGAGGATTGACTCCCTCGCTTATTCACTTGGATTGACTGTACATTCTAGTGAATTATTAAACAAAAATATAACTGCTGCTAGACTTTCTTTAACAGCAACCGCCCTTCTTCTCTTGTGTATTGCTAACGTGAATGTTTTGAGAAGTTTCCTCGTTGTCCTTGCTCAATTGTTTCTTTAGAATATCTTCGGCTAGGTTGTAAAATGCCTGTTCTATGTTGATGTTGGTTTTGGCGCTCGTCTCCAAGAAGCGAATGCCATGCTCTTTGGCAATCTGGGATAAACAAAGTTTCAATCAGCCAGTTTAATTATCAGTAACTCTAAAAAAAAAAATTGCCCATAGTTTCTATACGTGGTGAAACCAGTTTGTTGATGAAGGCAGAAACGACCTTAGTGAGGGGAGCAGGCTTTTAGCCAGAATTTGAAAAGTGGCCGTCCAAAATGTACTGTAGGGCCTGCTCAAATGAGAAATTTATAAGGCAACATATGAAAAATAAAACAATTCTCTTTAGAAAGTGGCTGTCCACAGGTCGCCTGGACACCTATCTGGCTAAAGCCTGGAGGGGAGGGAGAGAAACAAAAGAAAGGGAGGGAAAGGAGGGAGGGAAAGCAGGTAGGGTGAGGTATGGAGGATGATGGAGAGATGGAACTGACAGTGACTGTTCTCACACAAATTTTACAACCAGTTTGTACGTAACAAAACCACAATAAATGGCACGTAATGCAGGCAGAAGTTATGACATTTAACTCCCATTTCTAAAATTTTGTCTAGAAAATTGGAAAATAAACAAACAAATAGATGCTTAAACATGACGAGAAGACAATGGGTAAAATACAACAATCATTCCAGTTCCGATACCTGCGTTTAACAACTGGAAATCTAACCAACACTTTGTCAATGCTACAAGCCGCCGAAAAACGATTTCACTCAATCCCGAAAAATCAAGATGGTGGTTTGCAAGGAAACGGGTTTAGTTCCCTGTTCTCCTCGCTTTGATTCAGGATAAATCGTGCGTGACATACGTGCAACATCATTTATCCAAAGGAATGTCGTATGTCAGCATTAAGCAATGATGTTACAAGTTATCGTTTAAAAAATCAGCATTTTGTAGCAGTCCCTTTAACTCACCTGTTCCCCTCGTTCTTTGCTGACAACTCTTCTATCATCCATATCACACTTGTTACCAAGAATCATCTTTTCTACATCTTCATTTGCATGCTGAAAGAAAGCGTTGATTAAACTTATTTGGCTGCTTTTACTTGTTGTAAGTTAAAATTGAGCTCATTCGACTGATCATGGTTTCTTTGACATTCTATCAGAAACATACAAATCATTTTCTCAAAAAAAATGAGCAAGTGGTTTAGGGCACTAGATCTGAAATTTGGGAGTACTGAATAGGGGTGTAACAATTCATATTCCTCGCGATTCAATTCAATTTTGATTATTGCCTTCAATTTCGATTATTTCAATTCCATTATGCAAAATATTAATGTTTTTTAATTCTTATAACATGATACACAGTGTAAACAACTTACAACCCTAAACCCTACATTTTAGGAAACAATGAGCGTGTCGCACATGGTTTGCCTTATTTAGAAATTCTCAAGGGGTGTTCGAAGGGCAACATTTTTACCACGCAGCACAAAATGGCGCATGAACTGCAAACGTCTTTACTCATCAATCAAAAACGCACATTTTAAAGAGTTCTGGATTCTGATTTCACAATACAATAACTCACTGAGGGCACTCTGAGAAAGGTATGCAAACAATTGAACCAAAATTGCAAAGAATTGTGAATCGAACTGAACGGTCATAATCGTGATTAATCAAGAATTCGATTAATCGTTACACCACTAGTACTGAATCACATTTGCTCTTGGGCAAGTGAAAATGGAAGGTTGATGGTCCAGTGGGCAAGCGTAATTAGCCTCAGTAACCTTGTTAGTTGATAAGGAATGAACATTGCACACCTACTGGGTAAGTAATATTTTAGTGGGAGCAACTAAAAACTGAAATGTACTGGCCCACTGGGCAAATGGAATTCAAATTTTTTTTTCCTGCCCTGTATCAAATGGGATTTAAATTCACTTGAGTAATGCCAATCATAATTGTGATAATACCCATTCCTTAGAAGTCAAATTATTTTCCGTCATTATTACCTCCTCAATGTTCCTCAGCCATTTGGAGATGTTATCAAATGTTTTCTCCTGAGTAATGTCGTACACCAACATAATACCCTGAAAGACAAAGATTATTGTCAATGTATGAATCATTTTACTTCTGGAGTGAATTTTACCTGTGGAGGTAACTCCAAGCACAGGACCATTCAAATGAATGTTTCAGTTGTATTGAAGTTTTTATTATGCTATAGATCATTTTCCCATGACATCAACAAATTCCAAAATTCAAAACTAAAGAGGCACAAACGTTTTCATCTTCATCAGGCATAAGGGGATCTAAATTTTTATCTGTTTACAACTTTTAATAACTCATAATAATTGGTTTGGAAACCAGCGCATTTTGAATATTGGAGTTATGACACAAAGCTATGATTGAGTTTGCGAAAAATATACACTTATCTCGTAATAAGTGCTTGTGTAAATATTTGTTAGTTCAATTTAGATATTCAGTCGACTAGATAGCCAAAGTACCAGTAAGTTCCAGATGTTTACACTACTTTCCAGCTGCCATATTGGTGGACCGTAGAGGTTCACCAACACAGCATTTCTATACTGGGCTCTGTAAAGTTGTGCAAAACATTTTGACAAATATCTGAAGTTTAGGAAAAC